TTCTAGCTTTTCTGGTTCTCGAGTTGAAAGTGGGTGACAAAAAGTGCGAACACACAGACACACACAGCCTTCTGCCAATATGCGTTTCTGCAATTTGCATACATGTAAAAACGCATAAAAACAGACACGTTTTTTCCGGATTGTTTATTTAGTAAAAAAAACAAGAGCAGGTTAAAATGAGCTTTAGGCTTGAATTTTTGACACAAGATTGTTGAAATCTGGATTTATATCACTGATGCAGAGTCCCAAAGTACTTTCCAGACTATCGTCTATTAGCCTCGTGCGTACTTTAGTTTTACTACGCGTGTCATGCTGCGCAACAGCTGCACAAAAAGCACATTTTCATGGGTTTGCCTGTGTGCGTTTGTGGATGTGCGTGTGTGTGCGTTTGTGGATGTGTGTGTGTGCGTGCGTGTGTGTGTGTATGTGTGTGTGTCCGATGCATCTTGTCCGCAACTTTCAACTCGGAAACTGTAAAAGCTAGGAAGCACAAAATTTTGGGGAATATTCCCATGTACAAATTTAATTTCAGCCTCCCCCCATCTCTAAGTATTACGTACGAGCACGTGAAAATCCTGGTAGGAAGAATTATTATCTCGGGAACTATGGAAGCTAGGGAGCTGAACTTTCGGGGTGATGACCCCCTACCTAAGTACGACTTCGCAAGTATAAATTTAACCTTCTCGCGCACTCAGATATCACAAACAGCCTCTTGGAAATTTTGGTGGAGAAAATAGCTCGGGGACCATGAAAGCTAGGAAGCTAAAATTTTGCGGTAATATCCCCTGTCGCAACTTCAAATTCAGCCATCCTCTACGCCTGGGTACTGAGTACGACCCCGTGGAAGTTTTGGTGCGGAAAATTATCTCGGAAACCATGAAGGATAGGAAGTCAATTAGGGTAATGATTCCTGCCTATATATAAAATCGCAAATTTAAAATCGGCCTTCCCGCAATTTGGGTATCAAGTACGGACCTGTGAAATTTTTAACGGGGAAATTATTATCTCGGGGACCAGCAAAGCTAAGAGGCTGAAAATTTCAGGAGGATGTTTTCTGCCTGTGCGGGGTCTCATAAACTCAAATTTAGTTCCCTATGCCGAGACCTCACCTACGACCGCACAAAAATCTTGGAACGAAAACCATCCGAAAGCCATAAAATCAGGAAATTGAAGTTTTGGAAGAACGTCGACCCTCCAAGGTTTCAAATTCAGCTTTTACGTAACGAAACGTGAAACTTTTAATGAGAAATTTCGCGACTTAGGAACCAGGCAGCATTTCAACTATTTTTGCACAGAACAAAGTGCAAAAATAAATGAAATGCTGCCTGGCACCTATTTTAGTCGTCTATGTTCAGCGCGCAGTCTTCTCCTTAATACTGTGCTGACATTGCGTACGACTTAGAAAGTACTATTCATGTACACGACTAAATCTGCGAGCTCAGTTTCTTACTGCACTTTGAAGCGACTATGATAAGGCTTCCCTCGATCACAGCAAAACGTGCGGCCTCAAAGTTCATACAAGTCAGTTCTATTTCCCAGAACTACTTTAGGATGAGCAGGTGCGGAAGCTCAACAGCTCTACTAATACGTGTCACTGTTATTCCACTCTTTACACACATGTGCCCGCGATGTGTCACGAGATTTGGTTCAGCTATCCAGGAAAACACTCCTGCAGTCCTATATGGGCCATCCAAAGTAGGCCAGATGCGTGACAGCCGAATCTGAGGAACAGCACTTTCTGTTTTTTCGAAAAAGTGAATACTATTAACAAAAATTCTTGCTTTCTTTAGACTCGTATAAGCTGTGCATTTGTTTACAGCCCAACGCGAACATATCAGTGGCTTTTCATGATTGCCTAACGCCAAATATCGTAAAAGTCCCGGGCAAATTAAAAAAATCATCTAGTTTTTGCGATGCATACGAAAAATTCGGTATGTTCAAGAACTTTAATGAAACTATTTACAAAACCGGAACAAACTAAAAATATCTAACACTGACGGCAAAAGATCACAAAAAAAAAAAAAAAAAAAAAATTAAAAGGAG